GATGTGCCGCATTTGCCTTCCGCCTTATTTCATTGAAATGTACAGCATACTGCAGACGGCCTGCAGTGTTGGGTTCAACGGTGAAACGTTGAACCCAACACGAGCACACACGACTTTAAAGGGTTGCAAAAGTAGACGAACACATAATTGTTGATGTGAAAAGCTATTGGTCTTCGCAGCACCATTTACTAAGGAAATGTCCCTCGAATGACCGAATTTAAAAAGCCCTGCAAGCAAAATTAACCTTAAGTGCTAAGGTGGGCAGCCGGGAAGTAGTTACCACTGAGAGCTTAACAGCACAATGCAAATAATTTGCACAAAAAAAAAAACACAACCCACATCTCCATGCTAGGCAGCCGGGATTCAATATCGCAGGACAAGGAGTGCTGCGTCCCCAGGCTCTTTTTGTAAAGTGGCCCATAAATCAAGAACCCTGTTGAGAGGCGGCCTCTGTGGGTCTGGTCCAGCTGGGAGGGGAAACGGGCGGCGGCTCTGGCTGGGAGAAAGGCCCACCAATAACCCCCTCGGTCGTAATGCGAAGGCGGCGTGAAATTATTACCGTCATTAGCCAGACTGGGAATTGGATTATTACTGGAACCGCTGTGTTTGAATATATATATATATATATATATATATATGGAAGATGATGCTGTGGTTTGGGGTGTTCAGCAATGCATGTCGCTGAACTGGATCAAACTGCATATATTTATGAATGTGGGTTCTGTTTCTCAGACTTAACACAGTCAGAGGGGTCTGAGTAGAGACTGACCAGCTCTGCATGGAAACATATCGCCTCCTCACTCACTGTAACTAATGAACGAATGGATCCCCTCCTCCTTCTAATAAAGGATAATAATGGGCAAATTTAAAGCAGTGCATTTTAGGGAGGTAACTATCACAAACTGCTTTGTTTGCATTCACACTGTATGAAGAGTGTTCATGGATACGCGCGGTGTTCCCACTCAAGTCGACGCTATGGATAAAACTATGAGCATTTTCTTGCATCGAAAGCCTTTGATGAGAACAGGCCTGTAAAATGCTCTCCTGAATCCCCTGAATGCCTCACCAGCAGCCAGAAGGGAACGCGGGTCAAAATGTGCATCAACAAAAAGGTGGTAGTGACGCTCTTTTGATGCCATTAGAGCGATGAGCCTCTGCTGCGGTGCAGTTGGCCTGCGAATGCTTTATGTAGCACACTTCCGTTCCCTGCCCCCCACCTTGTCAATTGGAATTCTTTCCCGACTTTATCTTACACACCGACGTATGGAATGTCAAAACAAAGTCTTCATGAATCAGTAAGCACAGATCGGATGAAGAGATGAGGGGAAATGGGAGGAAAAATTGCTCATTTTGCTTCCCCTGGCATGCAATTTCCATCCTCCATTCACATCTCTCTAAAAGCTATCTAAAACGCATCAACCCCATCTTTCCAGGCTGGATGGGCCTCTGAGGATCACCTCCAGACATGGCACGATGACAGTGGCTCCGAGAAGAAAGGATGAAAATGATCATTTCGCCCTCGTGCTTACAGCAATGGGCTTCCTATTGTACTGCTGATTAAAAAGTAGGGAAAAAAAGCATTCATTCTAAACGTCGCTTGCCCCCTGGCAAAGGAAAACACTGGATACTGAGGTAATTGATCATACCATAGATGACCGGTGCATCAGATGAAGTGCAACACAAGTATTTTGCGGCGTCTTTTTTCATTTCAGCGGCGCTACAATTGACCGGTAAAACATTTACGCTGCCGGGCGAACTCCACTGTGGCCGACCTAGAGTCCTTTTATTCCCTGCCGTAACAAATGGAGAAATAAAGCACTTTTAAATTGCATTTGACTCTGGTCAACTTGCTGCTTTGATCTCCCCCTGAAGACGCACACAGAACAGCTTGCATACGTTTGCTTTGTTCAAGAGCAATGTAAAGAGACATTTGCAAATGAAACCATAACCGCGTTGTTACTGTGCTATCAAGTGTTTAGAACGTAAATAAAGCGAGCGCTGCAGCGGCAGATGATCCGTTTTTTGACCCTACGTGAAGGTATTCAGATAAAGGTCTCAAAAACAAGTGGCCTGTGAAAATGATTTGCGGGGAAAGACCAATTTTTTGATACCTCTCCCATGAATAACCTATTTTCTTTTTCCATACAGCCTAGTATCCCATCAGCGTGTGATCGGGGTCGCGCTGTTTCCTGATAGGGACACAGGGGTTTCGTTTCAGAGGGCAGAGCTCTTCATCCAGCCCAAAAAGAACCTGCATTGTGCTAAAAAGAATTGTAAATAATGACCCGTTTTAGGGAGTACTTGAAAGCTTGCTGAGGTCCACCAGAGAGAAATGAACTGACTGGAATCCAATTCTTATCAAAAAGAAAATGGGGATCAGAGTGTATTTCAATGGTATGATTAGGGATCTAATCAACCACCCCTTGTTTAGTCAGTTAAATGGATACAAAAGAATAAAATACTACACTGGTGTGGTGACAGTGGAAATTATTCAAATGTTAGAAGCATGAGGGGAAAACACTTTTATTGTTTAGACAGTTGACGAGCCAACAAAGCCACTGCTTTGGAGAGAGGTTGCTTACTATAATCTGGCATTCCAGTGTTGTTTAGCTCAACCCATCAATGGAAAGTCGTACCTAGAAATACTAAAGCCTTAAAGAATTACACACATGTTGGTATTGGCCCTCTGCAGTCATGATTCTTGTTTTTTGGGGGGCGAGGTGACGTCCACAGACAGATACGTAATCTGCCTGTACCCGTCGATTCATGACATGATGGCTGCAACAAAAATAAATAGCTTTGAATCCGATCGATGCCCGACGATTACGATGGAAAATGGAACAAGGCTCGGGGACAAAAGGAATCTCATCTTCACGGGAATTGGATTTTCAAAAGATTTAACTGAGAGCCTCTGTCTGTTACGCATGTCGTCCACAGCTTCCACACCAGTCAATAAGTCTGGACGGACATGCCGAGCGAGAAGAGAGGGTGTTCACGCGCCCGTTGGTGTATTTGCACACGTGTCGGATCCCCTCTCGGTAATTCCATTTCCCATCAAGACATATTTTAAGCGCCATTGATGGAGGCGGCCCCGTCGACTTCCGCTCCGACGTTCCTCCTCACGAATCCTCATCAATTGCTCCGATCACTCCTCTCACGCAGCCAATATTGCAGAGCCAGACAACCCTTATTTCTCACTAAATGAATGAACACTTTCATTTGAAAGCCTCTGAATAGAGTGCACCTTGATTGCAAAGCCAGGGGCCAGTAGGCATTGGTGACAGCTCCTTGAAAATTAAAAGTATCAATCAAGAATGGAGTGGAAAACAACACGTGATGTCTTCAGACTCTTTGGTCTCGAGTGCATTTTGAAAACACTTGTCATAGTGTTGTTTAGTGTGCTTTGGGGTGTTTGCCTCTTGAAATACGAAATGATTAAACGAGACTTACTGTGGGGACAAACACAGAGTGAACCATTTACTAACTGTCATTTAAATTGTATGAGACATCCTGATGTTGAGAAACACCACAAAGAAGTAACTCATTGTGCCGCGTCTGTGTGCGGCTTTGATCTAGTGAAGCATTGAAATGTGATGTCAGAGTCTAAAGGCTTTTAAACTCCAATGAAGGATCCAAAATGATATCGGAAATTAACTCGCCAATGAAACAAGGACTTTTATGGGTGCATTTGCATGCCCTTTAAACATTAATCCATCAGAGAGCAGAGGAGGAATTCAATGCCGCTGGGTAAACTTTACCAGCCTAAAAAAGTGCCAATGCTGGATGACATAATCTCTCTCGAAATCAATTTCTGCTTGAGAGCACTCGACTCAGCTCAATATGTAGCTGCAGGGCATTCGTTAAGTGGCCACCGCCACTTACCTATAAATTCCTGTGCTGCTGGTTGCTCCTGTGGCAAAGCTTAACCATGGATGTTGGCGGTAAATAAAGGTGTTACATGAACAACACCACGAACCGAGAACATGGCACCCACAGCAGAACGAGTGGAGAAGAAATGAGAGCGGAAAGATTTAGGGCAGAGCGTGAGTGGGTTTTGGAGCAGTGGAAATGGTGATGGGGGGGGGGGGGGGGGTTCTTGTTGGTATGAGACAGGCATGCGGCTGAATGTAAAGCTTGAGCTGCCTCTGGGCTTCGTCCCTAAAGGACGGTGTGGTCTCTGATAGATTAGAAGACACGAGAATATAAGCATCTCTGCCGCAGTCGTTGATTGAATGGCGAAATTAAACTGTGAAGTGGGCGACGGGGGGAAATGAAGGGGTTTTTTTTTTGCTCCCTTCTTTAAACCAGCATCTGCTCGAACCTTACAGCGGTGACACTTCCTGATCCCCAAAACTGGCGATCCAGAGTGCAGATCTGACATCTGGAGTATCGCAGGCCGTCGTCCATCCGAGCAGGAGAGGAGAGCAACTGCTAACACTGAGGACAGAACTCCTCCAGCAAGAATGACTGTGGCAGATTTTCACGTCAGACACCCGCTGACACACGCACGCCACCCCGATATTCCCACATGCGCGCGCGCGCGCGCACACACACACACACACACACACACACACACACGTTGCTGAGGCACCGGAGGTGCACAAGATTTTTCTTTTTATAAAAGGAGCAGCTCGTGAACGCGGACACACTGTGGCCGCTGTGTCTGAACAGTTGGGTCTGATGAAAGATAAAAAGAAGACTTCAACAATCCACAACCGTCGGCACTTGCGTCGAGGAGACTGCGTCCGCGGCGGAGACCGAAAAGAGCGACGTGGATTCATGCGCAACTACGGGGAAGAAACGGTCACTCCAAATGCGCATGTAAGTGCCGCATATTAGGAGATCATGAGTCCGTGATGCAAATCTGTGTCGGTATGAGATGTCGGCGTCATCCTATGGAATCGCTGCCTTCAAACTATTTGCACACACATCCACAGCGGGCAGCACAAGCATCCGGCCAACTTTGGAAACGGCGTGATCGAAACATAGATGGAACTCACCCACGAGCAGTTTCCGAATGATAGCGTGTTCTCTGCTGTTAGATGTGATCGCCCCCCACCATCGTGGTGTACCAGGATCGGTTATGTTCTAGGGAGTAAAGCAGTAGCGCTTCAAAAAAAAAACCAAAAGGGTCCCTAATTCGAAATAGTCCACTTCTCCCCCCCAAAAAACGCACCGTCTATCCCAAAAATTACATATTGTCAGGGTTGGCTGGCGCAAAATCGGAGCAGAGAGACACCTGCAGCCGGTCACTTTGAAACAGCGGGACAGGAGAAAACGGAGAAAAGCATGACAGTGATGAGGGGAATGGTGGAGAAAAATCAATGAGGGTCTCTATCAGAGGAGCCAATTAGTCGGATTATCCTATTAGAATCAGCTGCTGCGCCGCCGGCAGCCGCGCAGTCTGGCAGGTGAGCAGCGCTTCAAGCTGGACGACACGAGCGCAAATTTACAAAGTGATGTGCAGAAAAAGACTCATCGGATTCCGTCTCTCTCTCTCTCTCTCTCTCTCTCTCTTCCCCCCCCCCGCAGGATACATCAAGTCAGCAGAAATAGACCAAGACAGTGCAGGACACGAGGGGATATCCATCAAAATAAAAGCACACCATTTTGCCATCAAATCGTTGAGTTTCCATTCAGAGACAGATTATTACCCGTATTACCCGTGTATTTTCACCCAATCTATTATGACCCGAGCTACCGTTTTATTGGACTTTTTTTTTCCTTTTTGGTCATTGGCAGCTCTCGATATTTATCCCGCCCCCACCCTCGGCAGCTCTTATTTTGAAAAACACAAGGGAGTCGATTTATTTCCCCAAAATATGTCTGACTTGACTGTTGTAACAACGAGAACGCTCCATCAGACCTGCGTGCCTCTGAAGTCCTCATCCTCTACTTTAGGAACGGACGGCCTAAACGGCCCAAACACCCACGTGAAAATCACCCCCACACATGCGCAAAATCCGATTAATAAAGAGGTGCAAAAAAATGAATATGGAGGATAAGAGTGCAAAATAGAGCGCACCGACGGGTAAGCAAGGCGATGCAGTGCAGCACAAGTTGAGGGAACGCGCAGTCTAAATACCTTATAGTTGCATGAAATAGGTCAGATGTGTGGCAATACAATCAATCAAGGATGACAGGCGTTACTCGGTTGTCTTTTTTGGAGATCACACAGCATAAGCCAAAACTACTAAAATCATCAAAAGGTTTTTCAGTCTAGGAAAAAATAAATAACAAGGCCTATTTGGCAAATCTATTATTACCGACGTCGGTTTGTCAGTTAACCCCATTTTGTCTTGCTTCGACATACCGATATTTTCAATGAACGTGACAGTATCAACCACACACTGAGATAAATGTTTCAACCTGCAGCGCTGAGGTTTTGCCAGCATCCGAGGGGTCCAAACTGACTAAAAGATGACGAGAAAGGTGCGATACAGATTGAGGACTAGCAGGCGAGCTACGACTTGCTTGACTTCGCCCCTCACTGTCAGGACTTTGGTCACAGTGTTCCTGTGAGGCGAATGTCGATGAGGGGAGGGCTTTGAGAAGGAGGGGAAAAACCCGCCCCCCTGGGACTGAAAACAGGAACTTGTGAGCCCTCTTTGTCGTACACAGACTCTGCCGTGAATACAGGGTCCCTAATGAGCAAAGCGGGGGACAAACACGGCCTTGATTCGCTCCCTCCTCTCTGGGCTTGTCGTCCGCAAACGGCCTCTACTCCATCAACCGGTCAGAGTGCGACTCTGAGGGCGGCTGTGGTGAGGGTTTGCTGGCTGTTTGCACAATTTTGTCTTGTGGTTTTGAGGACTTGCGAGACAGCCTGGAAGAGCCGCGGCGTGGATTTCTAATAGATCCACTGGCATGATGCAAAATCCAAAAATCCAGACAAATTTGAGATATCTCGTATGTGCCATGTTGTGAAAATCCAGTATCTCCTCCGTGGTACATATTGGGGATTTGTTCAGTTATGCTCCGCTGTGGGTTAATGGTTTTATGAATCACCCTCAAAATCCAATTTACAAACTCAAAAACACATCGTTGCTGAGGCTGTTTTCTAACCCTCTCAGAAGCTGACAATTTGGGCATATATTTCCACTTGGCAACCACGACATGAAGTTTCAGACTGTTCCAATTAAAAGTGACACATCTGCTGATGTACTGTGTGGAAAACATGTCATGTCTTCTGACAAATTGATTAACTACATGAAGGTGAAACTCATAGACTGTCGCAGAACTCTGAACGATCTATTCAACGCATTTGAAGTAAAGTTAGTATTGCCAGTGTGGAGAGGCAGCATTGTGGAACTAAATTTGTCGTAAAGTTGTTGTAAAATCAGCATCGCACCAACTTTTACTTGCAAAATCTTTGGAGAAAACCGTACGACAACATCCGCAACAACAACAAAGAGTGCAGAGAATCTCAGCCAAATTTGAAGCAGAATATGTTAAAGGGGAACATTTCTGCCAGTACTTACTTAATTTGTTATGGTGTGTGAGATGGTGTTCTCCCTGGAGTGATGGGAAGATGAGGAGATGAGAAGAAGGGTTCGCAATGCGTCTTGTTTGATGACTCATGTGTACACAGGCTGGGTCTTTGAGGTTATCCCCGACCATGTGTGAATTAACCGGAATAAAGTAGTATTGGTGCAACGGTGCACAGCATGCCCCAAACAATTATTGGAAATACTGCTGAAATATTGATGAGTAAGACTCCATGAACAAAAACACACCAGGAAAGACGCCTCGGCAGTGGACTGAGGATACACAAAGTGTTGAGACACTCAAAACGAACTATTAATTGTACAAGTAGAGTACAATGTACCGGGCAGTAAACATCTTAAGATTGCAGAAATAAATCATTCTGCGGATCGTTTACTGATTTTCACGAAAGCAGTGGTAGACTTACAATTTGGGATCTGATGGCTTTGATTTAGGAAAAAACCCGCTGCAGGCGGCAGCATATGTCCGTGCCCGGCTTCCTCAGCTGCGCGTTTCAACCTTATTTGGACCGGGAGTGATAACCAGACATCACTTTGTGAGAAGGACTGTTTTCGGAGAAGGCTGCACTTTTAATTGGGGTAATGAGGTCACTGGAGGAAGCCTCGAAGCCCTCCTCCAATTACTGCCTATCCAACGCAGAGCACCGACAGCATCGAGCGGAAAACAGCTCAGTTGTTATGGGGAATCAGAAAAAACATGACTATTAAACTAATAATGCCCTTTTCAACGTGTCGCTATAATCGAATAATGGAACAGGAGGAAGCAAAAATCCACCTCATACAGTGGATGAGTTAAACTGGTGCACGCACACTTCATTGTCAGATGTGTTAAATAAACAAACAGCGTCGCATGCAAAAAAAAAAAATAGGTAAATTATTTCTGACAATAAGATATTCATGGGGAACTTGTGCAGCATTTTATCTCTAAATGTTTTAAGAAATGATTATTGCCCAATCAAAGGGCTTTTAATTTGAGAATACAGAGTGATAATGTAAAAAATAGATTAGATCTATTGAATCCATGAGCGCAAATGGCCTCAGTCAACAGGGAGTTCTTGGGTGGGAGAGCAGTGTGGTTTCCTTGCACTCTGCTGCACACAGATCAGTCTGAAGTATTGTTGAGTCACCAAGTGGCGAGCATATTCTGTCCCGATGTCATGTCTCTTTCAGCATGCTAGGGAGAGCAACACATCGGGTGTTGCAAAGCCACAATAAACCCCTGCTGTGGCAAACAAAGGCACAACAGACAGTTTGTGCATGGTGGACATTGGTTTTTCTGATAGTCTGATAATCACCATGAAATGTCAGCTGTGGGAGTCTATTCATTTCATGCTGCATGGTACATTGGACCGGGGCGGGGGGGCATTTGTTGGTTTTGTCGAGGCTTTTGAGGAGCTCTCTCACTATCACAAACTAAATGATGGTTTGGTCTACAGCACAATCCCACCTGGATATTTTCTGTCTTAGAAAACAGCTTTCTCTCCAGCCTCAAGAAAAAGTCACTTAACTTTATCTACTATATCTACTTTCCTAAAATGAATAGCTGTCTGTCCTGGAAAAGGTATGTGCGGTTACAGCGCTCCTGGTCTACAAATGACACGTCAAACTACAAATTCTGCTCAAGGAGCCATCATTTACTCCGTGAAGGAGCCACGTATTGTCGGTGCCACCTGGTACACCCCTTTTCATTTCTTTTACTTTAAGTCAAGTGGTGTTTGGTATCAATTAGGGCTGCCACTAAAGATTATATTAATAATAGATTATTCTGCCAATTATTCTTTTAATTAATTGATGAATTCGATTTAAAAAAGAAATCATTTCCAATCCTTTATTCAAAAAAATAACTGACAAAAGCTTAGTCACAGTGCAAAACATTGACAGCAATGTGTGCAAATAGGCTGTAATAAAAAGATTGACTAACACAAAAAACACACACACGTGCCAAATATATAGCTCTTTTTAAAGAGCACTAAAATATGTATATTTTTTGTTTAAAAGGACCCGAGATGTCAGAACAATAAATCATTTATAAAAAAAAAACACCGGTACACTTTTCTCTGCAACGTATTGAGGGGCGTAATAATCACGCGTCACAACGAATCTATGATGAAATTAGTTGCCAACTCTTTCAATAATCAGATTTTATGGATTCGTTGTTGCAGCCCACGTACCAATGGGGATAAAGGCTGTGTCCAAAGTTTAGTTGTTGCCTTATAAAAATCCCCCCAAACTACATTAAAGTACAGTAGACATATTCAGATTGCCCTATCGTTGTATGCCCTCCAGGTATAAGGCAATACATGCTGATAGCAGGAGTCAACCATTTACAGACACACTGTGAAAACAAACTGGGACCATCGAGGGTTTTTCTGTTTCATCGAGGCCCCAAAAGAAGAAGACCCACTGAGCATTGTGTGACCCACCGCTGGGCCCCTAAACACTGCGCGTATCCCACCCACCTCCCCCCCGGTCTCTGCAAGGCACCATTAAAGGTCTGTGTGTGTGTGTGTGTGTGTGTGTGTGTGTGTGTGTGTGTGTGTGTGTGTGTGTGTGACAAAGCTGCCGTGCTTAGCAAGGCAATAACGAAGGCACTTTATTTGACTGCCATGGTTTAAAGCTCTCGACAGTTGTTACTTTGTGCAGAAAGGTACGAGCTTTACGGTACATTTATTTAGAGTAAAGACTGGAAGGAGGGCGATGGACCTGCTAACCTCAACAGTGAGACTTAACAGGGAGCAGTGTGCTAATGGACTAGACCTTTCTGTCCGCCACATTAGAAACATTTACACAATTGGCAGGAGTTGCATAACATAATACTACTTTTGTAGCCTGAGGTGGATAAACTAAGCATTTGGGTGGGCGGGAAGGCATAAAAGAAAATACAAACTCTGTATAGTCACTCCAACACAGAACATGTAGACTACTTTACAGGAGGCTGGATGCAAAGCTGCTATGATCCTTAATAA